AATCTCGTCAGCGACAATAGGCGAGAGCGGTGCATGAGGCGTCTATCCTTATATTATGTCTATGTGTGCTGCCACCTGTCAGTCAGTTTTGGCGGTTTGTCAGCCACTGACCAATCGGTGGTCACTATTTGTCCGGAAGTTCACGCTTAACTGGAGGAACTGAACTTCCGTCAACATGGCGCTGGGGTCATAGAGATTTTGAGGAAAATAATAGGAAATTCTGGTCAAACGTTTTCAGTAGGGAACATGCGATCCTGACAGCCAGAGTGTTACAATTTACTACATTTTCAAAAGAACAAACGGGTTCTGGAGTAAGGCAAGAAATGGATCACGGCCAAGTTCGTCTGCATGAGAGTATCTGGTAGTAAATGTCCAATTTTTATTTTTATTTTTACATAAAGACACTTATTGATTGTCAAATCAAAGATCAATAAGTGAAGGAAGCTATGCTAGATCATGTGTAATTTCCAACGCTAGCTCTACGGCACCATGAACATGTACATTTAAGCTCTTTTTATGCTAATGTTTATTTTTAAGCATTTTTCTGAAGGCAGATTTTCACAAGCCAGTTTTATTTGAGTCATTACTCACCCATTTTGTACGTGCAAAATGCGTACGTACAGTACAACTTTCACACTCACACCTGATGAGAGTTTTTGCTCCTCATTCTTCCTTCAGCTGCAAAAAACTTTGACTTTAATGTTGCTTCCCGCAAATAAACTTACAGACCTGCTGTAGGACTCCTTGAAGAAGTTTTCTCTTCTCCATTTTGAGTTTTACTGGTGGTTTGCAAAACAATGTTAAGTAGCATTACCGCCACCTGCTGGTTTGGAGTGTGGTTTTGCCTGTCATCTTTGCCTTAGTTTTGGCAGATAAGGCAAAAATTACTCAAAAAATGACTCAGGTAACGCACCGAGTCCCACTACCTTTGCCATCAATTATTCTAACTTATATTAGATGCAATTATTAATTGCTATGATTTTTTTTTGTCTAATTTTGCCTCTTGTTTTGAGCGCCTCCATGGGGCGCTTACAGTGCCCCATGGAGGCGGCCTCCACTTTGAAAGACACTGCTCCAGCTCATTAATATTCATGAAATGCCCCCAGATGGTTGATGATTAAGCACACAACAGTCACTGTACTAGTAAATTGTACATTTACTAGAGTAACATCAGGAGTATTTTTTTTTACTACCCTATACTTGTACTGCAGTAACTGTGGTCAGTATTGCGACTCTAACTTGGGTAAAGTTTCTGGAAGTTTGTTCCAAATTTGTGGTGCATAGAAACTGAATGCTGCTTCTCCTCGTTTGGTTCTGGTTCTGGGGATGCAGAGCAGACCAGAACCAGAAGATCTGAGGGGTCTAGACGGTTGGTACCGCAACAACAGATTAGTATTTTACAGTCTATTCTTTGAGCTACAGGGAGCCAGTGTAGGGACTTTAAAACTGGTGTTATGTGCTCTATCTTCCTGGTTTTAGTGAGAATGTGAGCAGCAGCTTCTGGATCAGCTGCAGCTGTTTATTGATTTATTAGTCAGACCTGTGAAGACGCTGTTGCAGTAATCAATGCGGCTGAAGATAAACGCATGGATGAGTTTCTCTAGATCTCACTGAGACATCAGTCCTCTAATCCTGGAGATGTTCTTCAGGTGATAGAAGGCCGACTTTGTGACTGTCTTAATGTGGCTCTGCAGGTTCAGGTCAGAAGGTTCAGGTCAGAGTCCATCACTACTCCCAGGTTTCGGGCTGATCGCTGGTTTTCAGTTGTAATAACTGAAGCTGTGCATTGATTCTAGTTCGCTCCTCTTTAGGTCCAAAGATAATAACTTCAGTTTTGTTTCTGTTCAGCTGGAGAAAGTTTTGGCACATCCACACATTTATCTGTTCTAAGGATCTGTTCAGTGATTGGATGGGTTCAGAGTCACCTGGTGACATCGTGATGTACTTGCTTTGGAGTAATATCTCCACTTCTGTTTTATGTGGAAAAGAACTGATTTGAAAAAAAAAATGTATGCCTGGTTTTGCTATTCATATGAATTACTTTCAAAATCCACATAACTTCACATTTTGATCCATTTGTTGATTTAATTTTTAAATGTTACTTGAGTAGCATACTTTTTTCATTCTTAATTAAAAGTACTAAAAGTAAATTAGTACTGCTCTTACTTGAGTATAATTTTTGTGTACTCATCCATGATTGTTTTCTGTCCTGCTTTCTCTGTTAAACGCAGTAAATAAGGTGGTTAAATAATGTTCTCGTTTTTAACTAAGGTGCTGTATTTCATCTTTGACACCACATGGTGGCAGTGTGGCATCGTTTTCTGCTTCTACTTTAGTATTTGAATGAATTTTAGAGCCAGGATAAAGTTTTATTATTTTCTTGTAATAAAACATAAATAACTAATTAAAATCTATCATACAGTGGTATAATCGGATATATTAATTTTTGGTGTTACCAGGAGAATAAAAAGTGACTCAGAACCAAAGGGAGTAAGAACTGGTCCTCTTGCTAATGTCCTGGTCTGCATTGAATCACGTAATTTTAACACGTTTCGTTATGACAGATTACGGAAGAATGTGCAAACCGTGATGAGCTGTGGCTGCATGAGTGGGCTTTAAAACAGACTGGGTTTGTTTTCTGACGTGTTGATGTTGTATTTATCAGTGTTTTCTGACGCATTGTGTCACCATCGCTTCACAATCAGATCTTCATCATCGGCTCCGTGTTATTACTGTATGATATGGCTCCATTCATTTCCTGTCTCTGCAGCAGCCCAGACTGCAAAATCCAGGGAGGAAAATGCCTCCCTGGATTTAATTTATGGTTTTCTTTAGGCTGTTTTTGTATTTGTGTCTGCATTTTGTCCTCATCAGATAATGATTTAAGAAGCTAAGAAGTTTAGATACCCTCATTTCCAGCTTTAATGTTGTAATATTTTGGTGATTATTCCCCAAAAAATAATAACAAAACATACACTGGACTCTGGTCCGGCTACATACCTCAGTCTTGGTTCGGTTTGAATTCATATGTGAATGCCAAGCGGACCGCTCCAATAGCAGGAAGCGGACTACAGCGCACGGCATTCTGGGTAAATACAGCCAAAACAAAAGCGTTAGCCTAGCGCTTTTTGGAGAAATGGCTCTTAGTCTTTTACCAAAAACAAACAAAAGTCATACAGCCACTAAAATCTAACGCTACTCCATTTTTGTTTACATTTCGTGAAGAAGGAAGTTGCACTTGATGTCTTTTTCAGTAATTTTGGTGCAGCGCCCCCACTGGCAAGGCGGAGAACAGCTTTTTCAATTAGTTTGGGTAGTTTGACAGTGCAGTGAGAAACCGAAAGCTGAAAATTTGTTAGGTAGTAACTAGTTACATTTATTCAATTACATTTACCTGAGTACGTTTTTTGGGAAGAAAGAAAAACAACAACAACAAAAAGGAACTACTTTGAGGAGTATTTTTACTATTCTGTACTTTTTACTTTTACTTGAGTAATTATATTATGAAGTATTTCTACTCTTACTTGAGTAAAATTTCTGGATTTTCTACCCACTGAAATGTTAAATCTACTTTTAAGGCAGATAATAACCCAGAGGGGCAGGCAACCCTTGATTCTCATTCTCATAATTGTAGTTTTATTTTGTCAATATATATTTATTAAACTATTTTTGTGTTAAAAAATGGGGAAAAATGTGTTTTCACTAGAAACAGGGAAAAAGACACAAAAACAAAAAAGGTCCAGACAGGTATTCAAAAAGCAAATCTCGACACCTTAATTATTAATTAAAACCCTGAACGCTCACATGCCCTAATTAAATGGAGGCTATATGTGTATAATAATATATCTGACTAATGTAAACATCACCATGTTTCTGTTTATATTTATTTGCACTGTTAATTTGTTTACAGTGACAAACAATCAATTCAATCAATTCAGTTAGAGTCAAAATGCAGCTGTTGTAACAGCTGCCATGTTGATCCCTTAAGTGTCTATCTAATTTTTTCCTATTTTTATTTTTTTAATATAACAACACTGAACCATCTGGTAAAAAAAAAAAGGAGCGCTGTATAATTTCAGTTTTTGTTGTGTAATAATTGCCTCCTGCAGAAAGAGCGTTTCATATGGAACCAAAAACTGGAACATGCTAAAGCAAAAATAAAAACAGCACATATTTCCTTTTCTATTATTCTTCATATTTAAAATGATATAAACTTTGCTGCAGCTGCTGAGCTGCTTTACTCAGACGTTGTTCTTCGTGTTGAGTGAAGTGAGGTGAGGAAACAAAGCTGTGCAGCCAAAACAGGCTAATGAGCGGGCAGCACAACGACAGGCTGTTTGTTTTTCCAGGAGGGAGAGAGAGAGAGATGGAGGTAAAGATGGACAGCTTGTTAGAAAACAAGAACAAAAGACACCTTAGTTTACTGCTGTCATGGTTTAGTGACTCAGGTTCACAATCAGCTGTGATTAAAACTAAACGTTCACGTTTTCACCATTAACTCACCGATATGTTTGTGTTTTACCTTCTGGAAAAACGTAAGCTTTATTTTGTCTCCTTTGATTTCTACATAAAGGAGAAATCAAGTACCTTACTTCTGTTACGACCACTTATAGTGCAATAAAAACAACCAGTATAAAAGGGACAATATTTATTATTACAAAATAAGAGGATGTGTATTTGCAAAAAACCATAGATAAACAAAAATAAATGAAAAACAATGGAAAAAGAAAATCAAACTAAAAGAACAGCAGGGTGCAGCGACAACTGCAGCGTCGACCAACCACACGCCCAGGTAGGAATCGTCAGCTCAAAACATGAAGTGTGGCCCTGATCGCAAACAGTGGGACGTGTGGGCCAACACACCTGGTCGAACACAGAGGAGATTGACAATTGCCCACCAGCCTGACAGCTTCCCTTTTATGGGAGCTCAAAATGTGGAGGAAGCGACCCCTGGTGGTTCCACCTGTTACACTTCCATGAACAGGTTAAAATATGTCTATGGTGTATACAAAACATGTTCATTACATTTATTGGACAGTTCTGCCCATTTTGACCTGTTTTAGAGTGTCCTGTCAATTTAAATCCAAATAATCTGCTACTGGCCCAAACTCAACGTTTACACTCACACCTGAAAGTGGCTGCTAACAGATGAGCAAACATACAACCATACATCTTTGAAAAGCAGAAGTGGAGCCTCCTGCAAAATCAACAAGAGTGAAACAAGTGGCATCTCCATGATAAGTTGACAACAAAAGACTTTTTATCTTTTCCAGGAGCCATTGTGCATCAAACAGCGGTAACACCAGCTTGGGTTGCTAGGTAACCGCACACTGTGACTTAATAATCAGGAGGTTTTTGAAACATCTTATTTTCTAGACCCTGAAAAACATTAAAGAGGACCTAATATGAAAAATTCTAATTTTTCATGTTTTTATACTTCCATTTGGGCCCAAAAATGCTTAAAGAAACCATCCAGCCACTATTTATCAATAAGTTAATGTTTTATGAATTGTTTCAAAAATCTCCTATTTGTTAAATCAGCTTTGACAGGCACTGAGCCATTGCCTTGCAACCTAAGCTGAACTGCAGCAGATTTGGTCAGCTGGTTTTAACGCTGTATGAGCTGTACAATGGCTACTGGAAATGACAAGTGTTTATTTGTTGACTTACTGTCCAGAAACTGCTTGCTGTATTTTTGTTGGTTGTGTAGAAGGCTCTACTAATGCTTTTCAAAGTGTACAGCTGTATAGCTTCTCACCTGTA